TGAATTCTGCTTTGTTTGGATACCATGTTTGCGATGCATAGCTTATGATTGGTACAATGTATCCACATTATACGTTTAATTTTGACATAAATGATGTTTTTTTCGAGATATTCCGTTGGACTTTGTAAAAAGCTCCCATTGCTTTTGATATGCGCTTTTCAGCATTTACTGACCACGAAAGGTTGTCACACATTAAAATAGCTAACTCTTTTTGGGTCTTTGTGGTATCAACATTTGTATTAAATAGTGTTACTTCCAATTTCCCTTTGAGTTTTAACAGATTACGTTTATCTTCATTCAGCGGCATTTTATTTTCTTTGCACCTTTTTTCAACATTTGTCGTGTCTTTTTGCTGATGAGTTTCTTCAGTAGACAAGATCTTCATATCGTCACAATAGCCAAAACAATCCGAATTCTCAATGCATTTGGGAAAGTCGTTAATGAATATGATAAAAAGTAGAGGGCCAAGAATTGAGCCCTGTGGTACACCGCTAGTTATTTCTTTCAAAGTTGATGAACTTTTATTGATTTTCACAAAATGCATTCTATCTGTTAGATAGTCTTGTATTATGTCTTGTATCTGAATGCCTAGACCTATGTTCCGTAGTTTAGCGATTAGGATACTATGAGGAACTTTATCAAAGGCTTTAGAAAATTCTAGATAAAGGACTGATAGTGTTTGAACATTTTTGTCATCGTAGAGTTCATATACCTTGCTCAAAAATTTTACCATTTGAAGTACTGCTGATTTTTTTTGCCGGAAGCCGTATTGTGCGTTTTCCAAGAAAGCTTGAACTTTGGGGTAAATATTATCAAAGATAATTTTTTCGAAGACCTTCGAGACGGAGCATAAAAGGCTAATTGGGCGGTAGCACTCAACTGACGCCTTGGTCTTTTCTTTAAAAATTGGGGCCATTTGACTTGTTTTCCAGTATGTCGGAAAGAGCCGCTTGTTAATGAATGTGCGGAAGAGAAGATAGAGCGATTTTGACCGAAATTCAGAAAAATTTTATAGGATTATATTACCTATACCATCGAAACCTGATGCTTTATTTGTAAAAAAATTTTTGAGAATGAATTCGATTTTGGTTTCTTCAATGTGTATTTGTGCACAGATTTCTTCTGTAGGAGAACAGTTTGTATTTCGTGCGATAGGGTTAGGATTTGATTCCTTTTGATATACACTGATGAAGAATTCATTAAAAATGTAGCTTTTTGGGTGTCATCTCTAGTGGATTTTTCCTTGAAAAACATTTTTTGGGGATATTGCCTGGAACTACTTATTTTGTTTAAGTATTTTTGTAGGTCACTGAATCGTCTACTGCTTGTTACTGTTTCTTCGTAAATTGCTTGATCTTCAGTCAATGCTATTTGAAGATTTTTTTCCAGTTTTTTGTGTTTTAGGATAAAGCTTAAAACAGGTTTGCTTAAAGTAGGTTTGTTTTGCCGATCAATACGCCGTTTTAATGTTTGTACTCTTTTTAGCATGTGAGACGTACTTGGTATCACCCACGGGGGGAGAGTTGATCTGTGTGATGTAACCTTGGGTACATTGTTGTTTATTTTGTCCCATAACCATGCATACCACTGACGCAGGAGCTCATTTACATTACTGTAACAATACGGTATGAAAGGTTTGTCTTTTATTTCTGGAATCATTGTCGTCCAATCGGCTCTGTTAAATGCCAGACTTTCACCTGTGTTTATTTCTTTGATACTGGCTTCCATGTTAATTGTTGCAGAGTAAGCATAATGATCTGAGCATGAAACTTTGTCAATGCTGTGTGCGTTTGTTGCTGTTTGGTCCGAGATCCAGTTGAGTATCACTCCAGGGTTGTTTATTAAGAAAACATCAAGCTGCTTTTTTTGGAGTCCAATAATTGTTCAAAGTCAAGTTCAATGAGCTTTTTTAACACTGCATTTTCATATTCGTCCTTTGAGTGCATCATTTTCCAACAAGGGTATTCAAAATTTATATCTCCCGTAATCGACACTGCGTTACAGTTGTGTTGTATTTGTAATTTTGTTAAGTTTTCGAATAAACTGATGAGTTTTTGTTGTTTCCATTGGTATTTACTGTTTTTCGGGGGATTATAAACACAGCAGAGAATTTGATGATGTCCAGTTTCACCTATTAGTTTGGCCACTATGCATTCTTCATTTTCTATTTGAGCATCAATTTCTTCGTAATGCACATTTTTTTATCGCCATGAGTACACCTCCGTGATTGGTTTTTAAAGTGGAGTTTTTTCTATCTTTGCGAATTATATTAAAACCAGCCAAATGCAGAGCTTTATCTGGTATTTCCTTTACCAGCAATGTCTCTGTGAGACATAGTATATCGTAGTTTGTTTGTAAAATGGCATTTGATAGAGCTGTTCTTCTGTTGATGTCTAAAATACTTCTGACATTTAGGCAAAAAAAAATTTAAATACTTAGCAGTAGGTAGTCAATTGCTTCCTTCAATTTTTTTCCAATTTCCACTTTCTTCGTCATATTGGTAAAGGACAAGGTCCCTTAGCCTTAGGTTTTTAGCTGATACGCCAGTTTCTATCATTGTTCGTCTTTTCATCAGAAGTTTGTTCTCAATCAGAAATTCACTTGGGCTGAGCTTTTTTGACACAAAAAGAGTTTTGTCGTAGTTTTTCAATTTTGCCAAGAACATTAGTATCAGTCGTTTTTGCCATTCATTTGATACATTTACAACTATTGTGCGTGGCCTTTTTTCTTCTTCATATTTTCCTAAACGTTTTAAATCTGTGATTTTTGCTTCAACTGTTAAGAACTCAAACAGTTTGTTCACCTCTTCCAAGTAGTGTTCGTGTCTATCTCTTGAATTTTTTGAGACCAGTTCAAGCAGTCCTCTTATCCGGATTCCGTTATAGCTTGATTCTGGTTTGTTTAAGGCATGTTGCTTTGGCTCATTTCTGTTTTGTGGTTTTTTGTTTGTTTCATCTATCTTTTGCTTTAGTGAATCTGTCTCTTGTTTAAATGTAGAGAATTGTTCGGCGATTTCATTTAGTTTTGTTTCGGCAATGGATGGACGGGATTGCATCAAATCATTGATCATCGACTCTTTCCTACTGTTTCCAACACAACAGTTACAGAACAGGAGGACGTTCTGACTGATCTCCGAAACTCCAAGGATGGCAGTTTCAGATATTCCAGTGCATGTTTTTGTCATGTGCATAACATCGCCACAGGCAATGCAATTAAAGATTTGACTTTTGTTTGTGATCGGCTTTTTGCATGTTTTACAAGATTTCTCAGATGCTTGCGAGACGCTAGCATTTCTGCGTCTTTCTTCTGAGCCCATATTGCTCAAAAAATCTTCTCAGAACTGACACTCCAAGGTATAAAACCCCAGGAGAAGACCAGACTAGAGAAGACTTATTGAGTTTTTTGATTCCCTTGGACTGATACTCCAAGGTATAAAAATCTCAGGAGAGACTAGTCTCAAGAAAATCAGACTCACCAGAACTAGTGCGATGAGGATTGGGCTGCTTGTTTTTTCTTTGCTGCTGCTCTCTTTGATTTGGTGGGCCGTACTCTGAATTTTGATCTTTGCTGAAGTACTAGTGAACGGAGGTTGTGACGTTTCAAAAGTACTTTGTTGAGCAACTTCAGCTCAAGAGACGGAGGGGGATGTAGTTTAGAGAGGGCAACAACTGTATCAATGTCGTTTTGTTTTTGTTTAGGAAGAAGTCGTTTTATCGCGTCGATGATGAGAGGTTTCGTCTTCCGTAACTTTTAAAAAATGTGAGGGTTACCGTTTCGACGAATGTATATAATCGCAGCTATTTGATGCTGAAAATTCGTGTTGATTCCAGTTAACTGCTCCGGGGAACACTTCGTATTAAAGTTTTTGGGATGCTTTGTGATACTATTGTTTATCACGTCGTGCCAGAGAATGATTTCTCTGGATTTTAGGGAACCGTTTCTAAGTAACCACTGCAGTTTCTTGAGTTTACTCACATTGTTTGGGTTGAGGCTTAGTCCCGATTTTGCAAAAGTGAATCTTCGATACTTTACCCCTAGATCGTAGGGTAGGTAGTCAAAGGTTCTTCTGAGTGAGCTTGCTCCAACTACAATCATGTGATCCACCAACCTGTGTCCACCCACTAGTGTCCACGAGCGGTAGCAACGGTAAATTAATCCAGTCAAAGTAATTTGAAGTAATTGCAGGGGACCACCACGGCTGTCCCAGTATATCAACAATTTATCTGAAACTATTTAGCAAAAGGCACAGCCAGCAATCCATTATCTTTGAGATATTTCCTCGTTTTTTCAACGATCTTGTCTCATGGGGTTTGCCTTACTTTTTTTGCAGATGCCTTAGCAAATTTGCAAATTTACTTTTATCAAAAATTTCTTCAATATTATTTGTAAACTTGCGATAAACCAAAAAGCGGAAAACATCAAAAACTTCACAGAAAGCAAAACTGAAAACCGTCACAAGAAATTGACAAAACGATGTTTTTTCTACAATATCGAGGAAACCTTTGAAATTGAAACAAAAACTTCAAAGGCCAAGCCCGGTTTTGGTCATTTTCACAGCGCGCAAAATAAAAACTCGCTTGTCGATTTTGTCAACTTTTGATTGCCATCTGAAGAATCATGTGGTTTATGAAATAAATAGTAGTGGATGTAGTTTCTTCTATGTCGGGCAAACTTGCCGACGTCTAACCACATGGATAACAGAGAATCAAAAGAGGGATTCGCCTGTGGGACAGCATGTGGCAGAATGTGGACAATCTAAGGCGAAAGATTTTATTTTTTTTGTTAAGAACTACTTAATTGTCTTCTATGATGTTTAAACGTCTGTAAATCATTTTATAACATTTTTTTAACCTGACGACATAACGTTTGAATTTACAATTGAATAATTTTTCTTCCTACTTTAAAAGCTTAATGGTTTTGGTCTTTATCAGCTAAAAATTTATTCTTTCAAAATGTAGAAGAAAAACTAAAAAATTTATGGAATCTTTTTTTTCGCAGAAAAGATGACGTGATATATCTGTGTAAGTTATTTGAATTATCTTGGTGTTCTTGCCTTTACACCAAATGGACAACATCAAAGTGCCCAAGGTTAGCCTTAACTTGAAAGATGATTAATCTTACCACGGATTGCTATCTATTGGTTTATTATATGTAAATTTAGGTCGATGGAGTCACTCTGTGTTCTCGATCTTCTGGGAGAGAGGAAATGCGAGGTAATCGCATAATGTCATTTCAATAAACGGTTTCTGCATGATAATGACTTGCCTTGTCAGATTTTAAAAAGGTGTTTGGCTCTGAGAGACTATAGATTGTCTCAGTTCTTAAAGATCTAAGAAAATGAAATTGGCTTGGTGCTCACTGTCTTCAGGGCTTACGGCCTTCAACTCTCTAAAAGATAAGAATATAAATGAGTGGAGTAGCTATTTAAGAAAACTATTTAAAATTGCGAGAGCAATCGGGAACTAGACTTTTTCCCGTCAACAACTTTTCTTACAGATCTGTAAGAAATTGTGAAATTTCTTTATTTGTGTACCCTGCCGATTCCGAGACATTGTAATACTCGAATCAGAGGTAACGCGGATGACTTTGTACTCTAATTTTTCGGGTTCTAGTCCCGACCGGACCTTGTTTTTTTTCAGTATTAAACTCAAAAAATGTTCCGGGAAAAATTGAGTTGTCGGATTATAGTTCGGCTGCTTATCTTTTGTCGCTTAGTTGTCACATCGGAGAAATTTTATGCTGCCAGCTATTTTCATCGTAGATACAACTTTTTTTGGTTTACTCTTGTAATTGGTAAAATTAAAACTCCTTTGTTGTATATATTTTCTTGGTTTTCATTTTTTTCGTTTAAAAGTTTTTTTTCGGCCTTAATGATTGTGGCTTTTTATCGGCTTAGTTAAGTGTTTTGTGTTAGGTGGCTTCAAAGGCATAAAATGATTGATTTTCTTTTGAAAAATTTAGGTAGTTTCATTTGCAAGATTTCAAAGGTTTAAAACTTAAAGTTCTTTGTGACAATAATTTGTGTCGTTTTTTGTTTTTGCCTCAATGGGCGTCTACCTAATTGTTGTCGACTCAGGTGCCGCTCGGTTTATAATTATAACTGATTTAATGTTGGTACTTTTATTTTCGACTGTTTTTTTTCTGAAATTATTTTCATATTTGTACCATTTTTTTCTCGATTTTGTTATAATCTGGTTATTTTCGTACCATTCAGTATTCGCTAGCTTGCAATGCTGCGCATGAGTTGTATCGCTAGTGATGCGCTTCTCCGCTTCGCCTCTGTGTTAAAAAGTGCACGTTGAATTTAATATGCTTAAATGCTGGAATATAATTAGTTGCAAAAAGTTCGGACAGACAGAATTAATTAAAATGAGCAATCAGTGCTTTTTGACGGTTTTTGCATGCAAAATCTGAAGCCGAAAATCCTTGAGTTTTTTGTCAGACCAAACTCAAAATGCGAGATCGTCGATTTTCCGATGATTATGCTAGCCTAATTTTTAAAGATCGCGATGAACATCCAGATTTTACTATAAACTATTTCCACGCTTCCGATGCAATTGCCCGCCGTGGTTATAGGTTTCGAGCAAAACTCGGATCTACTTAACAATCTCCCCCCCCCTTGTTCCCCCCTATTGTATCTACTAAAGAATCTCCAGCCCTGTAAACAAAAACAATAAATTCCCACTAGAGCACTGTATGTAAATTCGAGTTTTGCTGCATTCTGATTGGTCGAAAGTTCGCTGCAAGTAAACTAATTAACAATCTTCCCTTTCTTGAAGTGGTGGTTGTTAAGTAGTTCCCGAAACTCTGCTTTATGAACTTTCGACGTTATGTCTATTTCAGTTTTAATTTCCGTTAATGTCTGGACAGTTGCTCTTTTTAATTAATTCTGTCTGTCCGAACTTTTTGCAACTCTCTATAATTCCTTTTTGTCCCTGAAATGTTGTTTGTGATTTGATCGATCATAACTTTTCAAAAAGTAGCGCTATGTCTGAAGTTGAAAGAAAGTTTCTCAGAATGTTGAAATTGTGAAAATTTGTGATAGTTTTTCTGCCTTTAGGTAGCTAACGTTAAAAAGGATTGCCCTAAATTAATTTAAATATATTTTTTTGTTGTTTAGGCGTTCTGTCCATCACAGTAACTCACCTTATTTTCATGGAGGTTCCCGAGTTGTCAGAAACATCGGGCAACACAAATACTTCAGTGAACAAGAGCTCAGTTCAACCTCCCAAGGAGTTAATGGTTAGGTATTATCTTTTTGCGCTGATATTTGGGTTTTCTTTTGTACTGGGTGGATATTGTTTGCTATATGGCATGGCGACCAACATTTTTCTACTATGCAGACATTGTCACTACGCTAACAATCTGAAGCAGCGATTGAGCAATTTAGTGCTAGAAGTATCTTAAAAAGTTGAACGCATTCAACTCGACGAAAAATGGTTTTAAAAAGCGGTTAAATGACCGAAAGGATGGCGTCCGAGTTTGCGAAACAATTTACTTGATGCAAGAATATGATAAATGTAGCTTAAGTTTAAGTCTGGTTGTGTCTCATATTCACAGTGATAACTTTTCTGTTTAGATATCGGTGTCTTTGATTGGTAAAGTAGAGAGGATGACAGCGGTGCCCAAGGACTACAAGGTCATCATTAGCACCAAACACTTCCGCGTCTACGAGTTTAGAATACAGCGGGAGAGCGACGCCTATAATGTTGCGACTTCTCTTCAATCTCTGGCAACTCCAGGTTAGTCGGTAGCATTTATTGGAAAAAACTCAAATGCTGGTAATCAGATCAAATAGCCATCAGCTTTGCCTCTTCGTTTTTGTTCATTTTTAGTTACGTTTACATTCATTGTCTGTTTTTAGTAACAAGTAGTCTTTCAAGGCGCAGTGTAAGCCAAATACTGTCTTCATATTTGACCGAGGTATTAAAAAAGAAATTGGGTTTCAGCCAAAGTGACTGATTTGTTTGCGTTCCATTACAAACAAGAAGATCTCCTGCGTAAGAATGTGAGGAACGGACTATTTTCCCCCGACAAGGACCAGGCTGCCAAGTTTCCCTCTATTGTGGCTGGTGCTTCTGCCTTGGGGGAGGGATATGAGAGTAGCTGGGGAGCTTACTCGATCGAGACAGAGTTCAAGAGAATGGGCGTACATGAATCGCAAAATTGGAAATTAGAGACGAACTTGAATAAGCGATATCAGGTCGGTCATTAAAGTTTATATTAGTTTTCTTCATTTAAAAGCAACACTAAGAGGCTTTTGATGTCTTTGTTCCGTGGAAAAAAATGTTTTTTCAATAAAAGTCAATGAAAGTGGTCAACATTGAAAAGGGGGATCGTAGCGTGGCAGTTGGGTTCTTTTTCATCGTTCCCAATATGGAAAATATGATCAATTAAGAATCGATGAACGTAATTCAGACTCTTTTATAGATCGTGATGATATTTTTTTGGTTCGTGATAGACGTGATGATCAGGAAAAAGTCAGAATTTTGTTCGCTTCGTGGTTTGATTTTTGATTTTTTTTAAGTTCAGTTCATTTCTTTTGTTAAGGTCACAAAAAACGTGATCGACTTATAATTTCAAAAGTGGATTTAAATTTTCAGATTTCTCAATGGAATAAAGACTTGCCGTTTGATCCAGTTCTCAAATTGAGGTAACTTTATCAAAAAAAATCTTTAAGGCCATTTATTGCTTCTTTCAAATTCGACAGTTGAAGTTTCAGTTCTTTTATTTCCGTGCGTTAATTACACTTCCGAAGCGAGTGTATTAGTACGAACCTTCTTCTTTTTCCAACCTAATTCGCAAATAAAAATGCTACTTTTGGTGGCACTTTTGAAGCGGTAGGCTGCGGTATCAGTATAATGTCATACGTGCAGATTCGAATCCTACACGAAGCTGAGTTTTAACTAATTCGAGGCTTATTTCTACTTTTTTATTTCCCTTGATAGAGCTGCTTTTTGTTCGTGTTCTCACAAGTGTTTGCGAAGCGCAGCTTCGCCTCTATGTTGACTCTTTTTCATCTGTCTTTTGGCTATGCTTTAGTTGGCGGACACATACCCTTCTGTGCTAGTATTTCCTTACAATTCCAATAAGTCAACGATCGAAGGTTCAGCCAAGTTCAGGAGTAGAGGTCGACTTCCGGTACTCACCTACTTGGACCGAAATGGGGTTTGTAGATCTCAATTTTATTATTTTTGAAATGAAACAATTGTTTTTATTCGTATGTAGAATCGACGGTGTTTTAAATGGTCTTGAAGTGTTACACTGGTTTTTAGGGTATTGTTTTCTTGCGTTATTTGTGTTATGTTGTTAGGCTGCAATCTGCAGGTCCTCCCAGCCCCTGGTGGGCATGGCCAAATTGGCGGGGGCGAGGAGTGTGGACGACGAGGACTTGTGTCACAGTGTGGCCAAGGTATCCCCCGGTGCTAACAAACAATTGTTCATACTCGACACGCGGCCAAAGGTAATGATGTCAATCCGCCTCTTTTCTGCCCATAAGATATAACGAAACTCCGTGGAACGTAAATTTCGAACGAGATGGAAATTGTTCCTTAGTGTAGTTACGAAAATGCATTTAAGAATATGACCCATAATAAGTCAGAAAATGATGCACGGATGTTCAAGGACGGATGTTCTAACTTTTTTCTAAGTCTTGTTTTACTTCATTTTTGTGCTATTCAATTAACTTAGCAAAATAAGTTAATTTCATCTTTTTTCGCGATGGTAAACTTAAATTTCATTTTATATCAGTCTAAGACTACGAACTCATTCCCAAAAAATAGATCCGAAAGTTTCCTGGTCTCGAAAAGTTCGAGTTTTTGTTTACTTTTTTGGAATATAATTTTTGTTCCGACTTTCGAAGAAAACGGAATATTTATGCTCGATGTGGTTTTTTTTTATTCAGTCAATTTTCGCCGATCGAAAGAGTTTTTAACAAAGATTTTTAAAACCCCATTGAAGATATCAACGTCGTGAATTCAAATGTAAAAAATGTATATTTTACCTCCGATCATTTTTTGTAAAGTTCTGGGGGGTTTGAAAATTGCCAAATTGGCCATTTTCTGGATTAAATTATGCGCGCTTTGAAGAGTTTATTCATAAGGCGAATTATTTATGTGTGGCGAATTATCCCGCACAACAAAATCGTTCAAACCAAATTGAAATGAGGCAAGCTAATCGGTCTTATTAATTTTGTACGACTCAAAATTTCACACTTTGATTTTTTCCAAAATTTATAGATTTTTAATATTTTTTTTCTCAAAAACTATCCGATATGAATTTAAGAGACAGTCGGAACATTCAGGGCTTTGCCCTGATATACGAGCAGTCTTGTTTTCTCTAAGATTTGTTGGATAGAATAGGATATTTATAAGCATTCTTTTTTCGTTTTGTGCAATTAGTGAGGCTTTTATAGTATCTTAAGTTGTGTGGTTGTTTTCTTATGCTTGAATATCAAAATTTCAAATTATGCTTTCAGATTATTATTTTTTTGAGCAATTTTTTTTTAAAACTCCAAGAGAAGGCATGAAGAATACTTTTTGTCTATGCACCTTTATTTCAAATAATCATAATTTTTTTGCTAAAATTCCAATTGGTATTTGAGAAATGATATTTCTAGCTTAATCAATATTTACCTGGGAGTCTATCTTAGGTGAATGCTTGGGCCAATAAAATGCAGGGAAAGGGCTACGAAACAGAAGAGTTTTACCGGTTCATCAGATTCGAGTTTGCAAACATCGAAAACGTGCACGTCATGAGGACATCACTATCAAAGATCACAGAATGTTAGTTGAAAAATTACTCACTAAATGCTCCGATCACTTCACGCAGAGAATGTTAGAAATTATGGCTTAGCACTTTTTTCTTCATAATTTTGACTGCTCAAAAGAATGCTTGTAAGGGGGGCAAGATTGGTATCTTATTAATGCCCTTTCATCCCTGAGTTGGATTCCAAGAAAAAAAGTCAAAACTTGTATGTCCGAGTTCTTCCGAACTTCGCTTTCGTTGGCGACATTAACAAATCAATTTCACAGCGAACGGCTACTTGCACAGCGACGGGCTATTCTTGTATTTATTGTTCCGACTTTCGATACGATAGTAACGGAATATTTGTGCTCGGGGTGGGTTTTTATTTTTCTTCAGACAAATTTCGGCTTTTTAACTAGCCATTTTTGACGGAATTTTTTTACATCATTCGAAAGATATTGTTGTCCTGAGCTTAAATTTGAAAAGATATTTCACCTGTGATCATTTTTTGTAAAACTATGGGGGTTTAAAGATAGCCATTTTGGCCAATTTGGGACAATTAACGCGCGATATATTTCACGCTTTTAACGCGTAAGCTGAGAGTTAATCCGTCATAGAAATCGTTCCAAATTGGTTAAAAGAAGCTTATGTGCCATAATTGGTTTTTTACAAGGAGAAAAATCTATCCTTTTGTACTTTGTATGGCGTGTGGTGGGAGATTTTCATAAAAAAATTCAAATTTAAGAAAACATTTTTTTGATTTTTGTTTTATTTCAGTGAATTTTTAAATGTTATTACTGCTCCATAAACCTTAAAAGGCATTCGGAACAATCAGGGCTTCGCCCTGATACGAGCAGTCTTGTTATTTTAATGATTAGCAGAAAAGCATTGGCTATAAATTTAAATTTCTAATGGATTGTTATCATTAAAGAGAAATGCTATTTACAATAATATACATAAAAATTTACAATGTGTGTTAAAAATATTTAAGGAGTGTCTGAATAATCATAATTTTTTTTAAATGTCTGGAAGTAAGTTTAGGTCATATAATGTCGAGAAATGCTCAATTTTTTTATTTTAATTGAATTGATGTGGTTGGAAGACCTGAAATTGTTGAAATTGATTTGTCCGAAGGTCATAGCTTTGCATGTTGAAACAGCTCCATGGTATAACGACATTGTCACGATTTGCTGTATTTACAGGCTGCGGTTGTCTTGGAATGAATTGCCCCAAATTATTATTACTTGGAACATTTGTGAAATAATCAGGAATTGAGTGATCGTTAAACTGTGTCTTTATTGGCAACGGTTGATGAAGTTGTTGATTTGCTGTTGTTTGTGCGTTCATTTCTTGACCTTTTTGAACCATAAACTGCCGTATTTTATTGATGGCATATCGTCGGCTGAAGTTCCCCTGTTTGAAATCCTCCAAATTGGCTGGATGTATGGACCAATAGTACCCTTTCCCGTCTGAACTGCGGCCTGATTTGACAAAAAATTCATTAAATGACAGATTGTGTCTTACACTGTTTCGCCAGCTGTTGTCGGACCTGTTTCGGTAATAAGCGAAGTGATGTGTAATGTAGTCGTAAATTTGGTAGAGGAGCAATTTTTGAGTTTTGCTGGAGGCGATTGCCATTCCGATTAAAGCGATGTAAGATGACGAGGGTTTCGAAGTTTCTGAGTTCTGCTTTTCTTCGTCGAGAGAATTGGAAGCCGTAGTATCAGATATTTCAAATTGCGGAGTTAATTTCAACTCTTGGACTTCTGGTTTGGTTTTATTGTCTGCGAACACCAGCAATTGTTGATTGTTTTCGCTGAGATTGAAAGAGTTTTTCAAATGTAACGAGTTGGTATTTTTTCGATTGGGGACATGAATTTCCTTTTCATCGGAAGTGTCAATAAACAGCTTTTGAAAAGTGTGGGTTTTATCGGCCTGATTTGAGTGGCTTGACTGGTATGAAGTTTCTGGTTCTGTACATAGCTTATGTAGTTTGGTTTTAGACTGGTCTGTATTTTTGTCAAGAATTGAATCAATGCTGAAGCTTAGAAAACGGGCAGGTCTTTTAGGCATTGTGAGATTTAATTTTAGAAACTAAGTTCAGTAGTTTTGTCAAAAAAGAAAGAAAAAAATAAGATCTTGTCAAAAAAGAAAGAGGAAAATAAGATCTGAAGTGGAATGAATAGATTCTTTGAGAGTAATTTTGATAAGTATAATTCAAGTAGTATATTTTGAGGATGAGTTGAAATTGAGGTTTGTTTGTCAGACTACCTGTGCTGATTGTCCATTAATTGGCAATGTTTGGACAATTAATTAACCGCGGAATCATCAAACTCAAACTGAGTGGAATTTAATTGAGAAGATGTACATCTTTCTGTGAATTTAATAAAAATAATTGTTGTAAGAACGAATGCAAATTTTTGGACGCTGAATTAGTGGCATGTTCTAGGCGAACAATCAGAGAGTAAGGCTATTTAAACCAGTTTTTGAAATTTTTTTTAGGAGAGTCTTGGAGCAAGACATGTTTCCAATATTACCGAGAAGTTTTTTTTAAATTTTTTTGTAATTCAGCACTGTTGCAAGACGCGATCTGGATAATTTGTAACATCTTTCAGGAAAACAAAAGGTCAAACAAAGAGGGGTCTCAAATAAGTCAACGATGGTTAGTTAATACAAAAGGTCGAATTGCGCGATTAATGTAATTTAAATGTAATAGAACAAGATTATTAGGTTGCTTAGCAATTAGCACAGAAGGTTCCGAACTCAATGATAAGCCAATAATTTCAAATTTTTTTTTTCTTAGCGACAATTAGTTGAGTTTTTAGTTAAGGGTAATTTACTTATGAACAAGTTTGCCAGAAGGAGAGTTGTAGATAAAGAAACGTTAATGGTCCTGTATAATTGAGTTTATTTAGTGTTCAATTTTTTATTTTATTTTCGAAATCGGGTACACCGACAAAAGACTTTTGCTATGATACTTGCCCACCTACGAGCATTCTTTGAGGTAGTCAAGATCAGGCGGAAAAAATCCACCCTATGCTATAGTTCTTTCGCGTCACTTCAAGAATAGTTAGTTAAAATGGAATCTAATGCGCAGTTACCTTTAGCCTTAGAAAGTGTTTGTCTTTTGTGGGGGCAAATTACATTAGTATTACATTATTGCTATATTTTTTTAAAGGACTATTGAACCACGAGAGAAAGGTCTAGGAAACGAGATCAGTGATTGTACCCCTGCTGACTGATTGTATTGACTTTGTGTGTTGATGTGGTAGGTATGGAGAAGAAGCCTCTGAACTTGTCGATGAACAATTACTTGACAGAAGTGGCCAGGTCAGGCTGGCTGAAACACATCCGGGCTATTCTGGAGGCCTCTGTCAGAGTAGTGAACACTGTGAGGGGGGAGCAGCAGAATGTTTTAGTGCACTGTAGCGATGGGTGGGACAGAACTAGTCAAGTGTGCAGTGTTGCATGTCTCCTCATGGATCCACACTACAGGACATTCAATGGACTCATCGTAAGACATTCTATTATTGCCATTATGGTGGCAATATCGGTGGCCTTGAGCAAGTAACCTAATTGGTCAAAAAATGGTTGAAGTTTTTAAATGTCAATGAACGAAGTGAATACACTTAATTAGGCGGGGTCGTTTAAGTTGTCCACGATCAAATTTGATTGTGATTTTTTTGACATTGGCTTCGGCCTCATTTTCTATCCGCTAGCTTGCAATGCTGTGTGTGTATCGGTGTTACGAAGCTCGGTTTTGTATTAAAAGTTTTTAATTGTTGGCAATATTCTTTTCAGTCATCGAAATAATCTAAAACGGTCTATTTTAGCATCAGAAATCAGTTCAGCATGTAATAACAGTGTCAGAAAATTCAATTGAGCGCTAAAGCTCCCGTTTTTAGGTGATTAAATTGCTCAATGCCATCAATATTGTCTACAAATCGGAGTTAACTATACAAGCTATACACTATACACGAGTTAACTATACACTGTTCGATGATACACTTAGACAAACGATACAAGGACAAATGAAAATCCAATGAGATGCCTCCAATGTGGTGTATGGTAAAAAAAATGGGCGAATTTGCAACTTTCACACGAAGGATAAGGGTTTTCAAAGATGTTTTCGAAAGTGTAATCAACCTTGGTGAGTTGTTGGCCGCATAGTCGTTGTTTTGGGGTGTTGGTTTTTCCTGCGACTGAGTTGTTCATTACTTGTGAGTATGGAGATTGGTTTGTGGCTGATTTGATTTTGCGTTCAGATCTCCAGAGTATCGAATTGATTTAGTCACAGGAGGCTGTGCCATATGGCCGTGGCCGAGTGGATAAGTCTCTGGTCTGTCAACATGAGGGTCATTTGTTCGAATCCCACTTTGGAGGGATCACAGTGTCATCCGCCGCCTCAAGTTGGTGCCTGCTCCGGTAGAAGAGTTGACATCCCCATCACCCACGGATGGTCCTGCATTGAGTGAGACCGAGGTTGAAAAAAAGGAGTGGGACCCCGTTTCCTGCTCAGATTCGTCAGGTGTTTCCTGTTTTGGTCCACCCTAGTGTTTATTTGCGCTGTACGAATATTTTCATGGCTGACAGTCCTAAAGTTGATGGCTTCATTAGTATCAACGGGTGGGTCTCTTGCGTGGTGAGATGGTTGATTTGCTAAGAGCGTTGAATCGGTGTCTAAATCAGGTATTTTTTTTTGAGAAGATACGAGGAAATGAAGCGCGATTGATGGCTGCCACATCTTGAAATCAGATATTAATTTTATGGTGTCAGCAAAAATCTAATTTTTTTTCTCCATGCAAATAAGTACATCATTAAGAGTCGTCGAACGTTGTTCAGACTTTTATATAGATCGCGATGATTTTTTTTCCGTTTTTTCAGGAAGGCTTTAAATTTGTGCAGGCTCAAATTTACTATTTTGCGGTTCCACTTCTGATTTGTTTTTAAATTCAGTTCATTCCCTTGGTACAAGGAAGGCAAAGTCCACGACCTATTCGACTGCGAATCTATTTGCTCTATGAAATAGCTTCAAATATTTCAAAAGGCTCAGCACTTGAATAGCTTGCATTAAAAAACTCAACGTTTTTGCAAACTGATTCGCCATCCACAAATTTGACATAATTCAAAGTTTCATTGCTTGATAGCTTGCTTAGAATAAATGTGTTGTTTCCAAATTGAGACTTCCAATGAAAAACTTGACATAATCCAGAGTTTCCTCAAAATTTTGTGAACGATTATTGCAATGAAGTAACGTGAAAAGTTTTGAGGTAACGCCAAATGTTTTTAGGACGCAACGTTTCAGCAGTTTTTATAGGAGTCTATGGTTAAAGAAAATTGTAAGACACCGCTCTTAAGTTAAACGCATGCTTATTTATAGCTTTTTTCAGTTTGAAATCTGGATAAATTTGAGACTTTTTTCATGTCAATGCCAAATGTCCAGACAGATTGTCTTGAAGTTTTAGGAGACGTTTTCGATTTCGATATCTGAAGTTTTTCAGAAAGTTTTTCAATATCGGAATTTGAGAGGGATGTTGTAACTGTTAACAGCTCTTACCATTCCCTTGTATCAAAAACACAGTTGGTGGTTTAGTAGTTTAAATTATTAGGCATGGAGATAGGGCGGTGCATTAAAAAAGCCTTAAGTTGTTTTTTATCTGGTGAGGCTATCAGAATATCAAACAAGTTAAGAAGAATAAAATGAACCATCAAATACAAAGTACATAATTAGGTACAACAAATTGTTCAAAACAACTCAGCGGTGTTCATTGATTTACTGAACAAAGATTTTGGCTCAGGATTAACGATGGTCTGGATCTCTTTATTACTTCATTCTTTAACAGGGGCTGCTTGAAATGTTTGCAAACACATCCAAAAACTTAAGTTTCAAAGCTTCATAGATTGTTTTGAAATTAGCTTTTTATTCTGATCAAACCGAATTCTTTTGAATCATTTTTTTGCGAACAAATCCAGGCCACTAAACAACTTTAAACATTTCAAGTTCAACAAGTGAAAGCTTGCTGAAGAAACGTTCATTTGTTTCACATCATTTTACGCGTTGAAAACAAACTGGCTTGTGTTGGTTCGCTAATTTTATTTTTTGAGGTACGCTGTTCAAACAATAGAAACTCGCAATGGTTCCGGACAAAAGATCGCTTTGAAGCAACCTATCACGCGATGAAATAATTACACTTTTTAAACCTCTTTTTTGCGAACCAATTCAAGCCAGCAACATAAATTGGAATTTTTTTTCCCGTGATAGGTCGATTAAAATAGCTCGTATTGTTTAATACAAGCTATCTTGGGAGCGTAGTGTAATAGTCTACTTTTTTCAACCAAAGTTGCAAATAATAGTACGCATTTGGTGGCACTTGTAATCACAATCTTTAACATCGGACTTTTCATAATATCTGTTCTCTGTGTCATTGGCGGGTAGTGTATTTTAAATGTGTTGTAAATATAATGCCTGGAATTATTTGGTAAGGTTTTCATTTCGACCAGTTTGTAGGCGTTGATAGAAAAGGACTGGCTGGCGTTTGGGCACAAATTCGTGGACAGATGTGGCTTCATAGAAGGCGACTACAGAGAAGTGTCTCCCATCTTCACCCAGTTTCTGGACGTCATCTGGCAACTCATGTCTCAGTTCCCCACCCGCTTCGAGTACAACGAGAGACTGCTGCTGGAGATACACACTGAGTTGTATCAGTGCAAGTATGGTACTTTCTTGGGCAACAGCGAAAAAGAGAGAGTTGAGAACCAGTGAGTTGATTTAAATACATAGTTTCAATTTTTTGGAAAGATATGCTGTTTTTGATAATTTCTTTGACGGTTTTGCCGAAAAATGCGGTTTTAGTACTAGCACCCTCAAAGTTTATTATAGTTGGTCAGCCCGAATTGGATGTCGTGAAATAATGGTAAAAGGGCCGATTTTCTAAAGGACTCGTCAGGAATATTCGAAAATCTAAGGGGAGGGGCGTCCAAACGTCATGAAAAATTGGCTAGAAGATTTCCTTTTTATTTTTTATATTTAATCCCGATAAATGAGGATGGAGCATATATTATTTTAAGCATTAAACCGACAGATCTCTGACCGCTAGTCTGAGATTACTATCGCCTCTCTATCGATGTAATTGCTGTTCAATTTTTGTGTGTTTGTTTCTAGGCTACGAGATTTAACCAAGTCGCTGTGGACTCACTTGAGTGAGAATCACCGCTTCTTCATGAACCCCTTCTACTCCCCCGAGGAGGACCTGATCACACCAAGTGCATCTTCAGATGAGAGAGACAAACATGTGCTCAAACCCAGTCTGCAGCCAGAATGCTTCAGGTATTCCTTCGAAATGTGTCTTCATTGTTTCTTCTTAGTCTGATTAATAGTAATGAACGTATTAAGAGTAATTAACGTAGTGAAGACTATTAAATAGGTCTTGGTGATTTCTTTGTTTTTTTTATAAGAAAAAGTCTTAAAATGCTCTAATAATTACAGATGTGCATTCATACATAATAATGTACAGTGCTGATTTAAATTATCCGGACAACGAATAAAGCTTGAATTTTCAAAAGCGTTGTTCTCAATTTGGGTTAAGATTAGAAAAAAAGTGAAGAGAACAAAAGTTGCTTAGATTTTCATCAGAATTAATATGGTGCAATTTTTTCTCCGGAATTCTCAAACTAAATTTTGCCCCAAAAATTGGTCATTTCGACTTTTTTCAATTAATCAAGAATTACGCTGAAGCTACTTTGTTAAATGATGAGAAAAATATACCACAAGAAGCCTCTTACACATCCCAACAAAGTTCTAGAAAGGTTGAATCTCCAAAAACCTGGATAAGAGAAAATATTTTTGCGTGATGGTCAAGGAACGTGATTTTTACTATATAAAACCCAAAATCTTTGCTTAAAAACAAATTTGAAACAATTTACTCAAATTTTTGGAGATTCGACCTGTCTAGAACTTGGTTGAGATGTGTAAGAGGCTTCTTGTGATATATGTTTCTCATCATTTAACAAAGTAGCTTCAGCGTAATTCTTGATTAATTGAAAAAAGCCAAAATGACCAATTTTTGGGGTAAATATTTGATTGAGAATTCCAGAGAAAAAATTGCACCAAATTTATTCTGATGAAAATCTCAGCAACTTTTTTTCTCTTCACTTTATGTCTAATCTTAACCCAAATTGAGAAAAACGTGTTTGAAGTTTCAAGTTTTGTTCGTTTTGTCCGGATAATTTAAATCAGCACTGTATTTATGAATGTATTTAATTCTATATGCACTTTTTGAGTTCAATTGAATTTCATCTCCTGAAGGTGACGTAAGTAGCACTCTCCAAATACGAACGTGGAAATGGCGCGAAAAAACGTGAACGATTTCTAATTTCGAAAGTAGAATTTAATTTTTAGATTTTCAGCGGAACAAAAACTTTAGCTATTGATCCAGTTTTCTCAAGTTAGGTTCATGTTATCAAAAAAGCGCCGATCATAAATTGTTCTAGAAATTCAAAGAGCTTAAAGGGCATCTGTTTTGTTTTTTTTATTCAAAACTTGGGATTTTCTCAACAAAGTCAGTGTTTTTTTTCTGTTTACTTGCGTTCAATACTCTTTTCCAACTGTCATTTGGCTATGTTTTTTTTCGTCTTATCGGATTTATGTAAATGAGTTCCGTCGCCTCATTTTCTTATGACATTCTTTCATATACTTTCTAAGTTTCCAATAATTTGTCTTTGCTTAATGATTTTTTTTGCTTAATCGGCATGTTCTATTGATTTAAATCAGATTTTTTTTCGCTCAAAGCCTATAATTGGCCTCAATTGATTCGTTACATAGTTTGTTTTGGTTTAATCGTCTTTTTTGTATCATTTGAAGGTGAAAAAAGATTTTTTTAAATAGTTTTGTGTATTTCTGGATACGAGCGTGCGTGAAAATTGATATTTTAGTTTTTCATAAATACAAATTTACTATTTTTTCCAGCCCAACGGGAGTTTACTCATCTTTTTCGGTTTGGTTGTCGCTTCGATGAATGATTTTAAATAATTTTTGTAAGCGACGGCGATAGTGTTTTTGGACGAGTTTTCCTCAAATTGAACATCATTCCAGACTAAAGTTTTTTAGTTGTGGTTTTCCGTATTTTTCTTTTTTTAACTTTGTGACTTTATTTTCTGACTGCTTGCTGACAATGCTATGTGTTTGCTATCGGAAGTCGCGCGAACATCTGCTTCGCCTATGTGTCTATGTTTTTGCTCATAATCTGTTTGTTCGTGATGTTTCAGACTGTGGACTAAAATGTACAACCCTTGGGAGTCCAATGTTCCGGTGTATTTGGAGGCAGTGACATCAAAGTTGAACCAACACAATTTCTACCTCATAGACCACGTCAAAATGCTACAGAAGGTACTGAGAGATTGTTTATCAAAACTAGGTCTAATATATATGAAGGCCAAATTTACAATCAGTTATTTTTACCATTTTCTTATAAAGCCATCAACTTTATAGAATCATGCTTAAGACAATAATCAATTTAAATGTCAATATTACTGGTTTCTAGATTTTCAAATAGCTTTATCGTGAAAGGAATGGTTCTACGAAAGAAAAAAAATTTAACGTCATTTAATAATTACAGTTTTGTTCATTTTACTTTTCTCGCGTTAATTGCGCTGTTTCAATTGTGCTGCATTTCTAAACTTTTTCTTAAGTTATTTCTATGATAAAATACCTTTTAAATCTTTTTGAAGTTTTGGTCGTAATTAAGAGTAATGAAGTATTGAGTACTCTTATATAGGTCTTGCTGATTTTTTTTCTTTTTTTTTCTTCACGAAAAAGTCTTAAAATTTGTTCACGCTCAATTTTGATTTTTCGCGTTTTGACTTGTGATTTATTTTTGTATTTCTATTGTTAAAAGGAAGGCTAACTCCACTATCGAATGGCAAAATTGTAAAGCTCACGAAAAACTTGATCGGCTTCCAATTTCTCAAGTTCGGTTAATGTGATAAAAAAAAAACGCATCAAAAAAGCGTCAATCATGAATCATTTTCAAATAGAAATTCAAAGAGCTTAAAGGGTATCTATTTTTTTTTTGAAATTCGAAAATGAGATTTTTCAACGAATTCAGTGTTTTTTTTTTCTGTTTTCTTGCGTTCATCACTTATTTACAACTGTCTTTTGGCTATGTTTTAAATGTTGAACTCAATTTTTGCCTGCTCATATAAGACACGTTGATATTTCTGCATCGGTGAATTATTTAACATGACTGTTTGATTTATGCCTTTCGAACTCAGTTTAACTATTTCAGTACTTTCTTCCAGGCGGCAGTACGTTTTTGAGCATAAGTTAAGCATAAGTCATCTCTGTGAATCGGGGTTGTTTTTTTTTTCAAAATTGATGCACGTTTGTTTTGTGGAAATTGTTTCAAACTAAAGCATTCATTTTTAAATTTCGTTTTTTTAAAATTTTTTTTTTTCATTTTGATTTTAGTTTATTGCAAATGTTCATCTTGATGTTTATATATAATCGTTCCTGTTGGATGTGAAGGTTGTTTGGCGGCAAGATTTTAAGCAAAGTTTTTGTGTTCGCTTAGGAACTTTTGGATCTCCAAAAAAAGTTTTCTTGGTTTTTAACCATACGATTTTTTTCAACATAATTCATTCAAATTTTTCTTTTTTTTTTCGTTTGAGACCCTATCTTTGTTTTTTGGCATTTTATTTTGTATCGCAAGTTGTGCGAAGCACAGCTTCGCCTCTGTGTCTATTTGTGCTGCAAGTGTTAGGAAACTCTGCTTCGCCTCTGTGTGTTTTTTTAGGTTTCTCAGCGGAATATAGAAATTCCTATTGATCCGTTAATTCACATTGGGTTAATTGTCCGAAAAAAATTTATTATATAATTTTCTTGTAATTCAAAAAGATTGAACATGAGTTTTTATCCGAATTCGAATGCTGAAAAATTATTCGAGGTTTTTTTTTCGATTTGTTTGTGTTCATTGACATTTCTCCAGTGCTATGTCTAATTCTTGAAGTGGTTATAATTGAGCTACTTTCTAAATTTTTTCGACTTTAGCGACAATTGTATTTTTGTTCATACCATGCAAGTGAGCAGTCTTTTTTTGTTTTGCGCGCAAAATCGGGTACCACAAGTAAGGAGCGGACTATGTTTAGTGATATATCATATCAAAGTTCTTTCAGTCGTGAGTCGAACCAAATTTTTGATTTTCTGTCTTAATAAGAGCGAATAAAGCAAGCGAGCAGGCTTACCAGCTGAATTATGCCTAATTTAAGTCTTTGTATTCGGGTGTGTTTTAGTTTTTTCTTTCTATTTTCCACGCAAAGAAAGGTACAGCAAATAGTCAATAGTCACCGAACTGGGCTAACTGATATATTGTATTAAAGCTCTTTTAGTCGTGATTCAAACTACATAAAAAATTCTCCAAAATTTTTTTCTTGTCGAGAAAAACCGGTTTGTAATTTTTGATTTTTCGTCTTATTTCGAGCGACGAAAGCCAGCGAGCAAGCTTTTTTATGCTTAATTTGGGCCGTTTACAATAGCTTCATTATGCTTAGCTTTAATTTTTTTTCTAGTAAAATTAGTTTTTGGAGATGTTTAATGCCATTTTGGTAATCAAAAATTCAAAAAACTTCTGCAAAAAAAAAGAAAAAATTCTTGTAATTTTTCTACAAAAATTGTTGTCCGGTTTGCGTACAGTATTATGACTGTCGAATATGCCTATTTTTTTGTTGTATATCAGATCTTTTATCACACCTCGCAGAAAAAGCTACACTAATTTCAAACAAAGTTGCGCAGTAATTTGCACTGTAACCGGCTATCCTTGTTTAAATGAGCTTTTGTTATTCAAAATTATGTTGGAGAATGGATGGGCTGGAGAATGGATGGATTTTCTTAAAACATATTTCGGGCAGCCAAATTATAAAGCACCTTATTTTGATAGTGGAATTGACACTAAAATTTCATTAGTATCTTTTTAATTGAAATTTCTGATATTTTTTTTATCTGTGTTTAGCAAGTGACCGAACTGGGGAAGGTATGTAGTATGGATGGACCCTTCGATCTCTCAGACTCCACGGAGATGCTCTTCAAAGACCTCGGCATACAGTCTGGTCAGTGAGATATTAGGCACTCTTCAAATTTGGGAATATCTTATGTTTGGATGACAGACTTGTTTAAATATTAATTGCTGCAAACTAAAGCGTCACTTTCTATACGATCTACTGTAGAAAAAAATTGTTCCAAATTGAAAAGGAAATTAAGATTTCTGTATCAAATGATTGTTGTTTGCAGACGTGTATGATTGCTCAACCTTCACGGGTGAATCAAGGTCTCCACCAAAGACAAACACAGACCCACTTTCGACACCAGTGTCCAAAAATCCGATACAAAATGGGAACATAATCGAGTTTGAATGCGACTCGGGCTTCGAAATTGTAGACAGTGCCGATATCAGTTCGAGTTACTCCGACTATTTGACATGTTTCAACCAGGCATCCGCGAATGCATCCTCAGCTCTCGGTTGTTCGCTTTCATGGGACGACTTTGCAGATGTCAAGTTTTGTCCACTGTGTAGAAATTTTCTCGAAAGCATTTTTTCCAAGGTAAGAAATATTGTATCTTGTATGTACGATGAATGTTATCGGTCTTCTTTGAGCTTTAATACATTTTGACTGGGTTTTTCAAAGTAGGTTAATGTACTTCAATGAATATTGAAAGTAAATATTTAGATATTACGATGCGTTATGCTTTCGACTGTTCAGAAAATTGAAGAAAAGAATGTTTCATGCAAAATGTTGCGTATGTTTGTATCTCAAGCAGAATAAATTTATTTTATATTATTTAAATTCAATTTTGACACTGAATATTTAAGGCCTATAATGTGAGAAAAATATGTATCCCCTTCAAAAATAATCATAATGAAAACTTGTCTTGGTTATTTGCGCTTAATTTATCATGTGATTGTAGGTGCATTGCATATCATGTGGCAGAGTGTTTTGTGGTGAACTTTCCTGCATAGAGTATAGAAAAGTGAACTCAGTGCTCTACTCGCAGAGAAAGGCCCCCATTTGCAGGATATGTATTGATGCTTCCCAGAGGACTCTGGAACCAAACAACTTCGAGATCTCTGTCAATGAGCAAAGTGGGGGAGACAAGAGTTCTACGTCATCTTTAATGAATGCGTCAATCAGCTCTCAAAACCTCATCCAGTTTCCGCTGGAATAAATTAATATCAATTAAATTAAATGAAAATATTTTGACAAGCGAAGCGTAGTTACGAATTTCTGGTCGAATGGTAGTAGTGTCATTATCAGAGTCTATGGGGATCTCCTCGGAATAAGATTTCAATGCAATGGGCAAAGAATAATTATTGCGGCATAGAAAAAAATCTAGTAAAATATTTTCCAGATTTGGTTTAGTCTTCTCTTTAATATGTAGATGAAGGTGCAGAAATCACTGAAGGTTTCCGTAAGTTTTCCTTCGCTTGTGTATTCAAATTGACTGTAATCGCCTTTAGTTGTTTTTCTGGTTACCCATATTTATTACTTATATTTGCTGTGAAAACTCAATTTTTAGCTGCAATTCTTCTTTTTTATAAGATTAGTCGATTTGGGTAATCATAATCGCAGCTTGGACAGGATTCTAATTGCTATTATAAGGAACTTTCATAACTTGCGATTAAATTCCGCAGTGGTGCTCTGCTTAGTGCTAGTTTTCTTATCCAGTTCAAATTTGGCAAAAAAACTGATGGTTAGATTAATTTTAGTTCGGACAGCATGGCAAGTTTGGTACTTAACTAATATAGCTACTCTGTTCCAGCAGAAAAGACCATAGAACCAATTTACGCCACCGAAATTTTTCATGTTTTTATTTCCAATAATAAGCCTAAAGTGATGGATGGGGGTTAACTCATAAATATCAACATTGAGTTATGTCAAAAACAGTAAAATGAAAAACCACTTACAGATAGATTGATGTCAAACTTCCAAAAATACCAGAAGCAACAAAAGGGTTAAATTAGGGGTGTTGCCTTTTCCCGGTTAATTTTGGGTAGACCTCCAAAAATAGGTGGAGAAAATATTCGATTTTTGCCCCTCTCCGGAATAACTTCGGGAACTTCCTCCAAAAAACGGGACCAGTTTGGGGGCCTATTTAGGGTATTTTCTGAGTAGAGGGCATATCATAATCGAGTTTGATAATAGCGTCTTAGAAATTGACTCGAGCAGGATAACAGATATACAGGTTACCAAGTATAGGTAAATGGAAGATGAGCATACTTTAGTGAACGTTTCAGCTATACCAAGGTTTGTCAAACCCTAAGCTCAAACTTAAACACAACCAGAAGTCCAACCCCGCAATAATTGTAATCAAACACTTAACAGGTTTTTACAATGAGAAAATCCTTAAACCTGAACGTACATGCGAAATGGGAGACAGAGTAAGACGAGCCTATGCTGACTTTCCTTTTTGAAAATAGTATGGGCCTCAGTTTACCGATTTCTTTCTCACAGTGAAGAAAATTAATATTACCTTTCCACAGATCGTATAATAAAAAAAGACCTGGAGAGGAAGAATTATTTTTTTATCCAGATAATTTCTTGGAGTTTATTTATTAGACTTTCTTAGAATTATTTTCAAGAAAAGAAGTATTCGTTTAAGAGAAAGAGCAGATAAAGTCAGAGAAAATTGAACAGTCTGTTTGGGCGAAGAATTTAGAGAATCTGAAAAATGCAGAACGGCTCATCCGAAACAATTTTAGTTTGGTTTTCTCTGCACTTGCTATTAGACTTCAGACTTCTTTTAATCTTTTATCTTCCTTTCTACCAGGAGGCAGACATTTGCATTTTTATTGGTTTTTGATATTGAAAAACCAATTTTTAGTTTAAATTGGAACTCGGAATATTTTCACCTGCCTTATTTACTTTAATATTCAGAGCGGCGGGGGATTCATCTGTTGTCGAAGTCAAAACAATAGGCACACTCCGCCTGATTGGCGTTGTGGATAAATATTAAAATCCTCGGTTCATCGAGAGATAAGTTGATTTCATTATCTTTCTGGGTGGGTAGCCTCTCCACAACCTACGGAAATTTTCCTCCTCCTTTAGGTAACCCAACTTCCAGTGACAGAGAGGTTGGGTTCATGCGCCTTTTTCCATTTTTGATTTGGCTTTTGTGCAAAGACCTGAATCATTCTGCCGGTTCTGGTAACGGGTCAGCACCCAAGCAATTCCAGTTTGAAACTGGGTCATACTTCATTTCCTAATATATAAAATGATTTTCTTTGTTTTACACCGTTTTGGTAAGGTTGATTTAATGCACTAATTAGGCAACACCATTTATACAAAGGAGTTTTAAAAAAGATATGTAATAAGTTATAAAATATTGGAATATTGGGCAATAATTAACTCCTAAATTTAGTTAAATATCCACTGACTCATCATGGGGTCCCCTTCTTTTGGTAAAAGGCACTAGAAAAAACCGGGGGAATTATACTTTTTCCAACCTTTTTGATATAGTTTTGAATCAAATTAAGTGGTATTGTTTGTGTTTTACTGAGTCCCACCACAAGAACGGACGATTTATGGCGTTTGATAAGCCATAGTTTACAGAGTTTTCCTCTGTGGGTTTTGCGTTGTTTCTCATTGTAAAAAGGTTTTCAGAAAAAAAGAAACCAGTGTGACACGTAATTAGATATATATAAGTTTAAAAGTAGAAACGTAGGCAAAAAAGTTGGATCTTAGCTATTGGAAAATTTACTTCCGAGGGTTAGAGAAGTCATATTTTATTTTGCAAAAGTGATAATTTGCTGTTAATGGCGGCAAGCATATACTGCGAAGTTTATGAAACGGGTGATTATCTGTTAAGTGCCGATTATTTGTTATATAAGTAGTTCGGGAACCGCCTTGTCTCTTTTGCCATTTCGTGGCATACATCGCAAGGTGAGTAATAGGAAAACGACAATGTGTAGACTAGTGTACGTCAGATGGGGTCGAGAGTTTTCCCGTATTGGCCGATGGTTTCCTCTACTACTTCGTCGCAGTCTTTAGAAACAAGATGGAGATGCTGGTGTGCCATGTTTTTAAGTTGTTTCTTGAAAGCTGTTTTGTGTATTACATAATCTTGGGTCGAATAACTCGGTTTTAGATAAATCTTGCAAACAGCATGAAGCAAATGATACAATAAGAGCCATAAATTTTTGATAAGTTCATCGACAAAGGAGGATGTCTATTTTGAGAAAAAGATAAAGAGGGATCCTTTGATCAGATGTTGGCCCAAAAGAAGATTTGGGCTCAGAATGGCAATTATTATAATAAAATGAATCATTGCCTTGATGGCAATATAGTAATTGCGCATTTATCACGTGGAAATGTTGACGCCATAGTGGACATGGAGATTTGTCCAACCGTAGTGGATAAGGAGATTTGTCCAACCGTAGTGGATAAGGAGATTTGTCCAACCTTGATTGGGACTTCATTTTTTGGTAGCAATGGATGCAGATTTTGTGAAAAAGGCTGGTTTTGGTCATTTTCATGAAGATTTCTCATCTTCGATTTTCCTTTTCGTTCGAAGCAGAAGTGGCACTCGAATATCGTTTTCTTTTTATGTCAAATTTTTATTTAGAATGCGGGAATTTTCTTTTCTTATTGTTTTTATTTGGATTGGGATTTCCTCAACGTCACGAATGCTGTCGGAAAATTCCTAAAATTTTCTAATTTGTGAAGTATAGATTTTTCCCTTCTGCCTGTTATATAGTCGCTATGTAAAAAAGAAATTGTTTACAAAAGTAAGGGCCTGTTTCATCCTCCACCCAGATCATTTCATTGTATTGAACAAGTGGTTAATTCATGTAAAACAGCGTTTTTCTAAATGCAAAAGTTACGCCCATGAATAGAAAATTCAGATACCATATCACTTTTCATTTTGTTTCAGATGACAAATAAAATAATTAGAAGTGGTGCTTGCCTAACAAAAAATTAAATGCCAATAGTTTTTACATTTTTATATTACTAGTGTGCGGCTCGCCACTAAATAAAGTTTCAAAATGAATAATGAAGATAGAAACAAATTTGGGTTTTGAATCTCCCTAATGCGCTAAAATAAAAGTAAAATGAATATTTTTCAATAAAGTAAAATGTTTTTTTTTCTTAAATAGCAGCAAAAATGTTCAAACTACAGCTGATATTTAATGTTTTTTCTTCGTTGAAACGTAGTAAAAAGTTGCAACCAGGTTTGTTTTTGAAACGTTACGTCGTTTAACCCAGGTTTTTTCAATTTTCTCAGAAGATATAAGTTTCTTTGTACTGAGAAACACTTTCCGGTATGATACTGCATTCAAATGTACTTTCGGAGATTTTGAGGTTGCACATAGGACAAGTTTTTCGTCAAACGCCTGCCAAACTAAATAAACAGGTTGTCCAAAGTATGGAACTATTTGTTGACATTTTGAATTTCGGCCTGGCCTAGTGGCCGCGTTGTTACCGTGCAATCATCGCGGGAAATTGGCACTGAAATAGGCACTTTCGAAATAACATTATGTTGCCATGTTTCCACCATACTTTTAAGCTTCAAGTAGGACTTCTCATGAAAAAACGAATCATCATTTCCACCCAGCACTAGTACAACTAGACATTGTTGTCTTTACGAGATAGACTGAAGATGGTTATCTTTAAGCTGAGTGGCCAAAGAACGTACAATTTGTTGATTCTGCCATTCACTGCTAGCTCCATGTGTTTCACATGGGAATCACCAATTTTCATCACCCTGAACATGAATATTGATGAACACTGTTCTCACTAGAAATCAAATGTAATTTGCGTATTTATGAACCTACTCTCTCAGATTTTCCATTCCGCCGACAGAAGGCACCCTTAAAAATTCCAAAGTATATGTTTTAATTACGAACTGGTACTTGCAAAAATTAAATTGACAAAACAAAAGCTTCAGATCAAATTATCGACCACAAAATACTCATTATTCAATATCTTATTTTCAACCTTTTTTAGAAATTAATTTAAAAACTAGTCATTTGAAATTTCGCTGTATCCTTACAATTTAAGTAATTTGGGTATTGTTTAATGTTTAAACATTACCCAAATTAGCTGGTAGGCAATTTTTTGTAAATTTGCACGCCTTGTAAATAAACAAGGTTATTCACCTTGGGTATTTCTTTGATTAAAAAGAAGAAATATCATGAAAATCAATCAACAAAATTATAAGAAAAAGTGAAATCATTAGGCTAATCATTAGAATCCGTCATAAGTTGAAAGTCATAACGTTAGTAAAAATCAAAACTTTGATAATAATCAGAATAACACAAAACACCTAATTTAGAGTTTTATATATTTAATTAATGTTGTTTGTTCTGCAAATCAGTCATAATCACAATTCAAAATGAAAAAAATAAATATGTGATATATACACATTTGTATATTTGTTTTAAAATACGACTGTGATATATACACATTCATATTTCAAAACAAACATACATACAATCGGCCATACATACCTAAACCCTTCCATACATACATACATACATACATACATACATACATACATACACTGCCCATACATATATACTTACATATATACACCCAGCCATACATACATTGTACATACATTGACACATACATACGTACAAACTTAATACTTACACCTCATCATAATCAGACCAAAAGTCTTATGTTTTGGTTTTCATCTGCGAGCTTCATAAGATATCCATACCTGTAGTAGTGAGAATAGCCAAAAAGACCTTTCCATATT